ACTGTATCAAACAGAAAAATAAATAATTCGAATCTGCTAAACCTTGACCAGCATATTAATAGTGCTTATATTTGAATCAGTACTAACATGTCAGTATGTAGCTATGAGTACATTTTTAAACAGTGGTATTGCTACTTTTACTTAAGTAAAGCATTGGAGGCACCCACAAATACTTTTCAGGAAACACATTTCTTTCCTGGCATTCATTAAATGGTGTTGGATTCCTGACTTTCTAAATTACCGGCACAGTTATCTTCATTCAATCCTCTAAAATATATTCAAATGAAACAATCTGAGAAGGCAACAGCACAACTTGTTTAAACTTTACACTTGTATAAATTACTCAGTAAGAGTCATAAGCCAAAGGGACTGGGGACCACTGGTTCAGCAAAACAGCAGCACTGAAAGAGGTTCAGCATCTTGCCAAGGATGCAGTAATAATGCATGAAAGAATAGCACCTGTGTGTTAGAAGGTAACCATAAATTGAACAATAATACATTTCGGCACCTTAATACTTTCAGTAATAAGCAGGTAAGTCACCATAGTCACTAAACATGAAGGTATTAATGTTTCTCACATCTGCAGGCAGCATGTGTAGGATTTGCATGATTTATCATAACTCATTTTCAATCCCAGTATTTGCCCAGTTTTAATGGAAGTGAAAATATCTGTGTGTTTGTAGTTCAGACACACACATCCTCAGAGACTGTCCAGACTCCCTGCAGACTCAGTCTATTTGCCTGGCAGCGGTGACACAGTAGTTTATCCAGGCCAAATTGCACCGCTGAGCAACATTATGCATTCAGTAACCTACTTAGACAATAGAGGAAGTCTCCAAACTACACCAGGTGTCCATGGCAGTACATCTCTGTTTCTGCGTCCTATTCCTGTGTTCCTTTAACCACAGCCATTTCCTGTGATGGATTCATTTTCAAACCCTTTTTAGCTGCTGGAACATGTTCTGAAATTTTCTTCTTGGCTTCACAGTGAAACACATTGAAAACTTTTGCATTATGCTTCTCTTCTAATCCTTTTTTCAGACTCCAACCTGCAGTCCAAGTCATTTTCCTGACGGTGCCTTGCTGGTATATTACCATACTGGCCCTGTCAGAGCTAATGAGGAGAAGAGCCACTCTGTGAGCACCCACAGCATACTGATGTGTATTCAAAGTGGCTCAGTGCGGTTGGTGAGGAAGAACAGACCTCTGCCTTGTAACATTTTGCCTGTGTCAAAGCGGCAGATCAATAACGCCTGCATCGTACATCATTATGCCCCTGTGGGATATTGATTGGGACATTGCTGACTTTGGCCCCAGTAGTGCTGAGTGGCACTTTACGGCCACAAGGTGTCTCACCACTCCTGCTGTGGTTAGAGCTCTCTGAATGGACACTGGGATGGTCTCTCAGCTGTGAATAGCTGGAAAATGTGAATAGACTCTGGTTTCTTTGTGTGACAAATATAAGAGACACTGTCAGCTGCATTTATGACCACAAAAGTTTAACTATTTGTTTCTATCACCCAAGCCACCAAGACTTTCTCTAAAAATGCTCTGGATTTGTAGTGGCCCTGTCCAATGTGTGCTAGCTTTTGACCATCAGGTCATCCTGCCCTATGGCTCTGGCTGCCTGCACTGGAACTGAATCATACAAAGCAGGTTATATCGTTTAATCAAAAACTAGCGTGACCTAAACACAAACTCATATTTTTCTGAGCTGCCTCTGCAGGGAAGTTACAACAATGAGCCAGACGCAGGCCCAAAGTTCCTGCTAATCCTACTGTAGAATAGGTGGCATAAACAGACATTTCCTCTGCCTCCTACTGTTCCAGCACCACAAACCTCACTGTTAAACAAGCAGCAGTAAACTGAAATAAGCAAATACTTGCTGAAAGGAATTCATTAATTGTGTGTATTTATTCTCATCTGAGGGGCAGAAGTGCACTATGATTCTGAAGACATGTTACTGACAGGTCAAAAATGAATAATCAATATACAGTGTTGAGTTTATAGTGACTTATTTTGTCTCTTGAGGTATAACTAAACCTAAAATAATATGTCCCTGTGTTTCTATATTTGGCATATACTCTTATGATATTAAATTTAGTTTACTTTAATGTGTGTGGAGACTTGCAGTAATCAACAGATTTTGTTTTGCTGGGTTGGCTTCAGCTTTATTTGCCTTTTAGCTATAATGGACATTTTTGCAAATCACCTCTCTGCTGATTGCAAGTATAGGCTTATCTTATACCCCTACCCAAGCAGCCAACCCATCCAATCACACGAGCCAATCCCTGGGTTTCATTATCTCTCCGGGTTTTCCAGCCTGCCTCTGTCTCGTCCCACTCACACTCTCTCTGTCAGAGCGCGGCGTTGACAGCCACTGGCCACTGAGCAGCCCACTCTATCGGGGTTTGTGTCTCCATGCAAGACTGCTGAAAAAGAAGCTCTGACTCTCGCATTTTCTTTTATTTGCAAGGCAAGTAAAACAACAAGCCCGTCCACGGCAACGGAAGCACAAGAAGTGGGGGAAAAAATAATCTAAGTAATTTTTCTAGACTCATCACTGTCTCGCAGCTCCCTGCACAATGTCTGGAGAGGACGCACCTGCCCAGCAGCAAAACGCCGTGGACCAGAAGCAGGAGACCAAACCCGCCGAGGAGCCCAAAAACGAGCCACCCAAGACGGAGTCCCCGCTGCTGCAGCCGCCAGGCAGCGTCTACACCTGCGGCGACACCGAGAAGGTCCCAGAGGAGGAGACGTATCACCTACCGCCCTGGTGCTCACGGGTACGGGGGCTTATGATAAAGTGAAGCTGCAGGTGAAGAAGGCAGCCGGCGCTCAAAGCTGCGAGTCCTGGTGCGGTCAGGCTTGGGGGCTGAACTTCGGGACTGAGTGGTCTCGGCAGGGGCTGTACTACAGGCTGGCCGTCCCGCCGGTCACCCCTGGAATGGAGTGCGCGGGATGGTGAGGATGGCTGGGTGGGGTTGGGAAATATGGGGAGTGTATCGTAGATCAGAAAAGTAGTGGCTATCAGGGCGTGCCCTCAGCTTTGTTTTCTTACAACTTGAATCTGATTTTGTATGTGTTGATGTGTTTAATGTTTTCTTGAGTGATGATATTATGTTTCTGGTTTTTTGGTTTGTTGGAGTTTCCTTGAACGTTACTATTCTTGATTAATGGGGCGTGTTCAGGCTTTGCTTTTCTCTACTCATTGTGGGTGGGTATTATGTGGTTAGGTCAGTGCATGTACTCTGTATTTATTAACGTTTTCATTTCACTTGTTTTAATGTAAGGGTCCTTATTGGGTTGAGGAGCAAGTTAACATAAATTATCTTTACGTTGTATCTTTCTCT